ATTTTGTATACATATAAACAAGATTTAGCATTCATTACGTGATCAAAAGTGACGTATCAGACTTCATTGTATCGATGTGGTAGTAAAATTTTTTTTCTCGAAAAGAAATAGACAAGAACAGTTTTATGATTCGCCCTTGTCCGCATATTTTATACAGTGGTAGAGCCCTCATTTACATCTTCGCACGAATTGGCCCGGCTTGCCCGGTGAAATACCATGACCACACAGAAGACAGGCGCAAAGTGGAAGCAATTCCGCGTTTTATCTGATGAGTGTGCGTCCCGGAGGCCTGATTTAGTCCTCTTTCTCTTCCCATCCTTTTTTTATAAGGAAAGTATTGGAAGTGGAAGTGGACTTTCCCGATGAGGGGATGCATGGGAAGGGAAAATATTTTCTTTCTGTGCATCCTCCCCTCCGTCGATTAGAGCTAGGCAACGCATATGCAATTGCGAATGTCTATGGGCAACTGTCACTTCGCCATTTTAGCGTTTTCAGGTGGCCGCTCGCTCGTTTGCTACCTTATGATATAAAAAATATGTTCGCCTAATTTAAACGTATCCGGGAAACAACTTGTGACTTTAATCAATAAAAAATTTCATCTGTTTTACAAGTCATTGATATACAAATATCAAAATTGGTACCAGGAACTCATAAGTCTAGATTGTACTAATACCTGAACAAACTGACGTATCCAGCGTGTAGTATGATGTGACTATAAACATCATTCATATAATAACAAAACGGAACTGAGATTGCGTAATGTTTATTTTTAATTTTCCCGCGACCTCGACTTTGTGATGTGCCAATTAAATTAGCACATATTTGTCGTTTCCTCGTGAATATCTCCAAATTGTGTTTTTGTCAACTGGACTATTGTCCTCTTGATAACTATTTTTATAGGTTAATAGAGCTAGGGTATGCTAAAGTGGTTACTTTTTTAAATTATATTTTACCTACTTTTTTGCATTATGGTCTCATGAACTATCATTCATAGGTTTTGCTACTTAACTTCAAAGTTATATGTAGATAAAAATGTACTAAAAAAAGACTTTCTTTGTTAAGAATTTACCTCCAGCCAAAGTTCTAAATGAATGAAATGAAATTTTATTACCATTTGAAAATAAAACGTAAATAGCATGTATTAAATTATTTACGTTATTTTTTAATCAGTCTTCAGACTTAATTTTATATCCCTGTTCTAATTTTTTATACCATTTTCATAAAAACATAACCATAACATAATACAAGTTTATGTCCTTTACTGATTCCTCTTAAAAATTTCAAATTAATTTTTAGTTTAGAAATATTCATTTAAACTTGAATTTTATGTGTTATAAATTTTAAATTTAATTTTTACCAAGCTTATTGTAAATTAACAATGACTTTTAGAGATTATGACGGGTTTCCGAGCGACTTTAAATTTACTGTGCTCATATATTTAAGGAAACATGACACGAAGCAATGAATTGAAAATTATTTATGAGTAGAACTTTTTTGGTTCAGACCATAAATAAAATTAACATTTTCACTTAGCCAATGAAAATTAACTGAAGAATAGGGAACTGCCGAGTCTTTAGAAAATTCTTAACATGTTTAAGAGTAAACTTCAAGGCACTTCAAGGGTAACTACGAAAATTGAGACGAGGATAATTTATAAAGCTACTCGTACTTCGAACAAAAGTTGTAAAACTTGAGGTATTGGATTCCAAAGTTTTTATTTTTGCCCTTTTTGAAATAACACGCCAAAGGTAAAAAAAAACTTGATCAGGTAAGTTCTTTGTATTTTTTCTGTCTTCGTATTTTCCTTTATTTTGCTTTGGTCTTTTTATAATTTATAGACCTTTCACAATTTATTTATTACAGTCAAAGTAAATTATTAAAGCTAATTATTATTTTTTACTTAGGAAGACCAATATCTTAGAAAGGAGACTGCAGATGGGCACTATAGATTAGGATTTCCACTTTCTTTATGGAATCAATTCTTGAAGTTCACTTCGATAATAGAATTCCAGTTGTAACAGAACTATTCTATATTAGTATGTAAGTCAAGCACACGGGTGATTAAACTATGTCCTTGAGCAAACACCTACAGAATTTTTAACAGTTCATATAACCGATATGTATGTTTTTTAGTGCGTTACCTCCGGCGATTAAACGACTACAGGCCGCAATCGCTTCGCTATGTCAGCGAATTACTAGCCACTTGTTGGTTTGCCAGCTTATAATATAAAAATTTATTAATCACAAGCTGTTACCCGTGACTCCGATCGCACCGAATTCAAAAAAACTTAGTAGCCTATGCGTTCTTCCAGACTATGTTCTACAACTATGCCAAATTTCAGCGAGATACATGGAGCCGTTCTGCAGATACCTTCTAACAAACATCCATCCATCCATCTAAACACTCACTCACTCATTATTTAATAATCGTAGTTTTAAGTAATAATAAATCAAAGCTTCACATTACAAAAGAAATCTTACTACAAATAAAAGATTATTCATGAATTCCCATACACACGTACATTGCAAAAGTTAATTACAATAAATAACACGAATGATTGATTTAGGTTGCCCACCGCGTAGCTTTTACAAAAGCCGCCTCTATCCTAAATAAAACGGACTGTGTCATCGTATTGGCTTCACTGGACGAAACATCTCAGATAACAGATTCTTGCTCTGATATACTTGATTTAGTTAACATTAAAATGACGTAATACTTATTTTTGTAGAAAATAAAATAATTCTTTAGTGTAGTAAAAAATAAACTATAACTTTTATAATTTTGCGTACTATGAGTTACACTACCCAACCCCTTTTTCTTCTGCTTTCACAAAAGTATTTTTTAATCATTGCTTTTTTTTTCGAATACGCACGGATATTTAGGAAGATATGCTCATGTTATTTTATGACGGCAGTTTTGCCCAGAAAACACATTCCTTGAAACTGGTCAGATGTATGCTTCAGTGTCAGAAGTATTCCATAATTAATATTCATTGGATGTGATAAATATTTAGTCTACTAATAAACAATTGTATTGTTGATATTCAGATTTGTAAAGTAGTAGATCTTACCGTGGATTTCTGAGTCCAAAATCTGCTTAAAACATATCGTTATCTCTGTTTTGTCAAAGATAATGACAAGGATGACGATATGTTTTATACAGAGATTACGGTATCAGAAACCCACGGTTAGAGAAATTTTTAATACTGTCACATTTCTGTACGATGTCACACGACATACAAACAGGTTCACTGACATTCGGAAACGAGAAAGGATACTTTGATTTGACTTAATTATGTTAATGCTTATGGTTGTTTAAGAACCTGAATTCGGCTGCAGCTAAATTGATAAGTTTGTATTAGCTTTCTCGAAGTCAAAAAAAAGCTCTTTGTATTATGGTCCCTTCATGTCAGTTCCTAAGGTTATTAATATAATAAATGTTGTATCCACCACCATTGGATATTAATTGGCAAGACTGCTCGAAGACTTATGTCTTGAAGTATCCGATGGCAAAATAAGAAGGAAATATATTACTCAATCATGAGTGAACTCGACGTACATTTAACGAATATGATTATAACACTTGTGAGTTATATAAAAATCGCATATCAGCACGCTTGTTTTTTCTAAAACAATTTTGGGGTCGTACCGCGGATTGCATTTAGGACCTGCATTATGAGGATTCCGCAAACTGGGCACGTTCAATGTCTTATTGTGAGCTTGACTCGTATGTTTTTCGGCTGTCACTTTAAAAGAATCCATTTCAAGATGTGAATGAGTGTTGAATCATAAGCATCGTAGATAGGTCGACGGTCGATGGAACATCGCTTTTTGTTATTTTATTTCTTTACGAACCAACTCGTCAAGGTCAGTTGATGTGCCCAATGGTTTTCGGTACTTTAACGGTAATTGTTTTCAACTTTCACAATAAATATTTAACTTGTTTAAACATGTCATGCTTGTATTTTGGTAAATATAATTAAGATACAAAGGTTTTGACATCAGGTGTGGGAAGTACCTAAAATATGGCAGAACAACATTCTTGATGAATGTCATGTGATTATATTCATTGCGATACGATGGGTCAGATGTTAACGGAAATCCTTTTGCATATCTTAAAAAATAATGTCTTCATTCCAAGTATAAAAGAATGAAAGATTCTGGAAAAAGATAATATAAAGGAATATTAAAGAAGGATTTTTTTTACATCATTAGGTGGCAACGAGCGAGCGGCCGCCTGAAATTGCTGAAATAGCGAAGAGACCGTTGCCCATAGACATACGCAATTGCATATGCGTTGCCTACCTTTAATGGATGGAGGAGAGGATGCACAGAAATAAAATATTTTCCCTTTCCATGCATCCTCTCATCCGGAAAGTCCACTTCCACTTGCCATCCTTTCTTTATAAGAAAAAGGGTGGGAAGGGAAAGAGGACTAAATAAGGCATTCGGGACGCACACTCATCAGACGAAACGTTGAATTGCTCCCACTTCACGTCTGTCTTCTGTGTGGTCGTGGTATTTCACCGGGCGAGCCGGGCTAATTCGTGCGAAGATGTTAAAGCGGGCTCTACCACTGTTAAATGATAGATGGTTCTATCTATAATCTAAGGAACATTCTTAACAGTCTTTAAGAATGTCTGAAACTAAACTTGTGTAACACTCTTATACAAAAATATTTACGTACAAATACACAAACAAAATAGCTTATTTTAATATCAAATTACTTCGAACTCAAAGTGAAAAACAACTCTAATTACAAGTAGCATAGATTATTAGTGTTTTATAAAACCACAAATTCACAGCGAAATATCTAAGCTTCCCAAGTCTTGAGAATAAATTAATTTCAGTAAAGTATTCAAGAACACGCTAATTATCGTGTCTAGACAGACGATCTTCTGAGGTGTTATGTTATTGATTAATTTTCTTGTTTACTATATTTATGATTACAGATTGTTTACTATACGAAATCATACAATTCAACTAAGTTTTTCTCTATTTTAATTGACAAAGACCAGTCCGTGCTTCATTTGTTTGCTTTTGTCTAAAAATGTCATTTACATTTCAACTCCTATATAGTTTAACTCAGTGTCGCTTGCGACTCCGCCCACACGGGATTAAAAATAGCTTAACTTATTAGCCTATGTGTTTTACCAGGCTATATTCTATATATATGCCAAACTACAGCAAGATCCATGCAGCCGTTATAGAGATACCTTCAAACAAACATCCATCGATCTAAACATTCGCATTTATAATATTAGTAATATGGACCGGTGTGGTAATCGATCAGAAGACAATGGTATGAAAAAGTCGAGCAAAAACAGTGAATTAGGCGTGGCTGATGCGATCTTGTTTTCGGTGAGCGAATTAAGGCATACATCAGATATCTACTCGCATCCGTCGCTGAATATCACTCATCATCAACCTGCCCTTATCCCTATCGAGGGTCGGCACAGCATGTACTACTCCTCCATACATCTCTGTCAGCCGTCATATCCGAGTCTACCCCCTTCTTACGCATATCCTCTTTCACACAGTCATTCCATACTTTTTTTGGTCTTCCTCTACCCTTGTAGCCATCCACATTCAATCTCATTACTTTTTTGCTTATGTCATCATCATCCCTCCTCATAACATGTCCAAACCACGCTAATCTTTTACTCCTCAATTTCTCGATCACTGGCGCTACTTTCAAACACTCTAATATACACATTTTTAACTTTATCCTTCCTTGTCACACCACACATCCATCTTAGCATACGCATTTCAGCTACATGCAATCTTCTTTCATCCGAAACCTTGGTGGCCCAACATTCAGATCCGTACAATACGACAGGTCTTACGATGGACTTGTAGATCTGTCCCTTAAGTTTCATTGGCATTCTTGGATCACAAGTTACACCGGTGACCTGTCGCCATTTCATCCAACCTGCATTTATTCGGCTTTTCACATCCCGGTCAACACCGCCGTCGTATTGGACGAGTGAACCGAGGTACTTAAAATCGGAGCAGGTTGGTAGGTTTACACCATTTAAAGCAATTGGAGAAAAGCTGGTCGGACCACCAAAATCACAGAATAAATGTTCTGTTTTGGTCCTACTGATTTTAAGACCAGCTTTCTCCAATGTATCTCGCCATATTTCCAACCTGCTCTGTACCTCACATTCATCCTCCCCGACAAGCACGATGTCATCAGCATAAAGCATACACCAGGGTGCTTCCTCCTGTATGTCTGACGTCAGCGCATCCATTACCAGGAGGAAGAGATACGGGCTTAAAGCCGAACCCTGGTGTAGGCCCACCGAGACACCAAACCTGTCGCTATCGCCAGCAGCGGACCTGATGTGTGTATTGGCTTGGCAATACATAGCACGAATAAGCTACAGGTATTTCCCAGGCACTCCTTTCACTTTCAAGGTCCACCACAAAAGTCTCCTCGGAACCCTATCATATGCTTTTTCAAGGTCTACGAACACCATGTGCAGGTTTTTGTGCACACGCCTATATTTCTCGCACAGTTGGCGAATAGCAAAGATGGCATCCGTAGTACCCCGTCCTGGCATAAAACCAAATTGGTTCCGAGTTACCTCACTCTCTTCTCTTATTCTTCCGTCCACCACTCTTTCCCAGGCTTTCATACTGTGTGACATGAGCTTTATTCCTCTATAATTGTTACAGATCTGCACATCCCCTTTGTTTTTAAATATAGGCACTAGTGAACTAGCACACCATTCATCTGGGATCACCTCTTCCTGTAACAACTTGTTGAAGAATAGAGTCAGCCACACCCATCCATCCGCCTTTAAGAGCTTCCATACTTCCACTGGTATTCCATCCGGCCCAACAGCTTTTCCATTCTTCATACCTTGCACCGCTTTCTTTACTTCTTCCACGCTTATCTCTTTCACCATACCAATATTAACCGGCACTTCTTCCAACACTCCACTCCAAATATTCTCCTCGTTCATCAGTTTTTCAAAATATTCCTTCCAACGCTGTTTAATATCATCATCATCCATTAGTACTTTTCCTTCATCGTCTTTTATACACTTTATGTGGTTTATATCCCTTGCACTCCTTTCTCTCTCTCTTGCTATACGGAACAGGTGTTTTTGTCCCGCTGGGCTGTTCAGGCCTTCGTAGATTTTAACCTGTGCCTGTGCCCTAGCAGTTGCGATGGCTTTTTTTGCACATCGTTTACACTGCTTATATACGTCTCTTTTATTCTCTTTCAAATCTTTATCATTCTCATCAACACCCTGCCACTCCTTAAATGCTTTCTTCTTTTCATTCAAAGCCTCTTGCACATCTGTACTCCACCACCAAGTTTCTCTATCAATTTTTCCTCTACCTTTCGTTTCTCCTAGCACACTTTTCGCCACACTCCTAATACAACTGGCCATTTCATTCCAACTATCATTTACTGTCATTCCATTCATATCATTCATTTCTATCATTTTATTTACCACTTGCTTCGAAAAGTCTTTTGCACACTCATGTCTCTCTAGCATATTCCATTTTATTTTGCTGGGGGTTTTAGGTTTATGTTTGTTTAATTTAATTTTAATTTTGAATTCTGCTATTAAAAGCCGGTGCTGACTTGTTAAATTTTCCCCAGGTATAATTTTGCAGTTTTTGACTCGGTTTAATTTGTCCCTCCTGGTAAGAATATAATCTAATTGCGTTGCGTTACCGCCACTTTTATAGGTTATCAAATGTTGAATTTTCTTTTGGAAAAATGTATTGGTAATTGCCAAATCATACGCAACAGCGGCGTCCAGTAAATATTCCCCCTCAATGTTTCTTGCCCCAAAACCCCAGCCTCCGTGCACTCTCTCATACCCTGTACTCTTTCTTCCAACATGTCCATTAAAATCACCTCCGACATACAATTCCTCATCTACTGGGATATCCATTAAAACTGAATCAAAATCTTCCCAGAACTTTTCCTTAATACTTTCATCACATCCAGACTGTGGCGCATAAACACTTACTACATTCATAATCAGATCCCCTAACATTATTTTTATTACAATCAACCTATCATTCAATCTCTTAACATGCGTCACACAATTTTTCAGTTCACTATCCAAAACAATTCCCACTCCATTCCTCTTTCCGTCACTTCCACAATAGTAGAATTTATACCCATCACCAATCTCTCGAGCTTTTGAACCCTTCCACTTCGTTTCTTGTAAACAAGCTACATTTATTCTTCTTCTTTTACAGACTTCCGCTAACTCTCTTCCTCTGCTCGTCATTGTTCCAACATTCCAACTCGCAATTCGTAGTCTTTCAACCCTGTAATACATACTGTAAAATGTTTTGGCTTTAAATGTTTTTACTGGCCGGCCGCCTGCCTGACGCCAAACCCTGCTCGGGACTACTTAAATACTACTTATTAATTATTTTATTAAAATTATAACAATAAATTATAAAACATTCCACACAAAACAGGACACAAAAAAAACACACAGGAAAAAAACAGTAAAGTCAAAATATCGTATGTACATTTTTTCGATGTGAGTGAGGGGATCCATTGGGCTGCAACCTGCACGTATCTCAAACAATTTGCTTCGTCCCACGTGTTTTTACTTGATAGCTCAAAATACAATATCAATAGTTGTGATATAACTGATTCGGGATTATTACAGTCTCTGAAATTAATAGCCTCCAGTTGTTTTACTAGTAGGTAAAAGTTTTTATCCAAGTTTTTATTGCGAATTCCAAATTCTAAATGATTTTTGCATTCATCATAATTCTTGTTAGGTTTTGGTACAAGACACAATTCAATGATTTCCTCTATTTTTCTGAAAGTATTCATTATTGTTGCAACTCTTATTGTACATCAATTCTTATAAATTTATTTATTTACAAAAAATACACTGCAAAAATACGATGACATTATTGACATACATGTCAACAAATAATTATATTATTAATTATCGTCGCTGAATATCACTATTATACATTAACATGCTCAACCAAAAAAACTAACTGTAAAACGAGTTTAGTCATTGTATTATTACTTGTATAAGAAAGCTAGCTAAGAGCGTTAAAATGTCACTGATTCGTATATATTTTTGCCATTGAGTTTTTTTAAATAACATTTCACCTCTTAACAATTAAAAAAAAAAAGAAAAGTTTATAATTTAAGTAGATCTTATGCTACCTTCCTTGTACTACTGATTTGACCTCTTCTTGACCTTGACACTTAACCGCATGTAATTATTTTTTTTGTTGTTGATTAAAATCAGATCGAACATTTTTTTATTTTTTATTCCTGATATTTATTGTAGGTTATTTTTATAGTATAAGATAGCAAATGAGCAAACGGCCACCTGAATTCGTATCCGTATTTGCAGATGCGACGCTCAGACAGAGGCTATTACCTCTTCCTATAGGTCACCTTCTCCGTTAATTCCTCATCCCCTTCCCTTTTTACCACTTTAAGAAAATGTTGGGAAAGATATATGGATAAATACCGTTATCATATAAATATATAAATTCAGATGGTAAGTGGAGAAGATAAAAGCCCATAAAAATGGTGACAAAGTTCAAGAATGTATTTTAGCATTTTTACTTCTATCAGTAAATGCAAAGTTATAGATAAATAGTAGAAAAATTGTAAAATGTCAAAAGGCAAATGTTTTATTGCACTGCTACCATTATAAACATAATTAATTTATTATATTTTTAGACCAAAATAATAAAAATGGAAAACTACAAAAATATTTTATATAATGCCAGTATCATAAACACCTAAGTATACTTTAAAGTTATTAAAGTATTATACATAATTTTACTTGTATGTCTGATCGTATCTTAGGGTCGGTCATAAAGAGGACAATGCCTTTTGAGATATTCAGGTGAGTTTAAATTTCGTTATAAATAGAAAACAAAATTTTTCGGTTGCTTAAGGAAAGATCCGTTTCAAATATAAATGGAATTATAACTGTTAACCGTTAAAAGAACATATTAAATAAATTCTTTAATAAATTACACAGTATGAATATTAAAATAAGAAATTAAAAATTAAAATTTATAGACTTCGTAGTCGGTGTCGCTCGGAGTATCCTCTAAGTGAATAATTTTCTCAACGTTTTCATTAAAGGTTACAACTGACTTTCTTCTCGCTTTCTGAGTTTCTCCAAACTCATCTTCATCGGATGTTTCAGCGGCGTCTTTTAGCTTATCGATCGATTGTATGACAATAGGCATTCTTTGATCTGGTGTCGGTACATCGACAACAGTTTGAGGTACGTTGTCATTTTGTGTCGATGTTTCTGGCGCATCTAATATATCTTGTAATCTCCTTTCGCTTCTCTTCAATTCCTCTATATTCATTCTCGGTTTTGCTGGTTCTTCGATCTTCACCGTTGGTGGAATTTGATCTCTTGATGCTAAACTATTCTGGTCACTAAAATTGTTGTATTTGTACGTCTTTCTCCTGTCGACAAAAATGATTATAATTTAGACACGTACATTAAAATGGCTGTATGGAAAAAAATTAACGACTTTCTTACCATTTTAGGAAAAACCACACCGCAGATACCACAATTATGATGAAAAGTAGAATACTGAGTGCTATAGTCGCCGCTAACAAGCCCGTATCACGTGCCGGGAGTGAGCATATCTCACGACTTTCTAGATGATCTTTCAATGATACAGTACTAGCTATGTTACCCATAACAATACTGTTAATGTCACTGAAAAACAGAAAATTTTTGTGGAAATGTACTCAATTAAAGGTACGCGTCATTGGCCCGCGCCAGACGCGCGCACCACACACGAGGCTCGCAACGGATTTTAGTTTACTTTGTACGATTTTATATAGCTGAGTACATCATCTGCACCGCCAACATCGCATTAAGTCAAAGCAAATTAATCCGGGCGTGGGGTGCGTCTGGTGCGTCCGGCGCGGCCCAATGGTCACGTCCCTTAAAGGGTTACAAACGGATTTAAATTACTCACGAAGTAAGTCGCGATACTTCTACAGGTTCACGGTTTATTAATCCATAAATAAACAGACGTAAAAGTGCTCCAGCGCTGACCACGGCAGCTCTTTCTTTTCTATTTGTATTATCGTTAGAATCCATAGGCATAATGACACTTCTTAACGCTTTAACTTCATATCCAAGCGCATTTGTTAAGTTTGTTAACACGATGATTTCATCTTCCAAGAATGCATCTTGAACTGTTACAACGGCTATTTGATGAACGTCTAACAATCGCAACTGAAAACAAAAAAAAATCCGATTGTTTCTACCAAGAATTATTTCATTGGCTTTCTTTTTGATATAATATTATATATATTTGGAATTTAACAATATTCGTAAAAACGCATTACATTTATTTTCACAAAGATCCGGAAAACTAAAGCATGATATTTAAACGAGTAAAAAAGACAAATAAGGAAACAAGTGACAAGGAAATAGAAATAAAAAAAAAATATCTTGGTGTATTTTTACCATGAGGTAAATTGAAGTACGGTAATGGATACATCCAGGGAATTCTTTAGCGATGACATTATAAATATTCTATATCACAACATACTTAAACACATGAACAATACCAATATCAAAAGAAATCTAAACATATTTCCATATGCAAATAGAAGAAATCGTATTTATTTTGCTTTTATATTTCTCTCAGTAATCGGAAATCAAATCGTATGTTGTATACCTATATTCTTTTCATAAGATATTTAATTGGATATAATTTACTGCTGATGTAACATGTTACAATCAATGTTAAAACAACATGGGTGGTAAATCAATAAATTGGCAACAAAATAAATAAATACAGATAAGGTCAACTTCGGCAAATGAAATTTTGCATCAAATTTATTTTATGTGCTTTCGAGGTTTTTTAGGTCAGATACTATTAGTATTTTTTTCATAGTTCCTATGTACAAAATATAAACATGTAAATATACTATATTTAATGTTTAACAATAAACTAACAAAGAATCAAATGAATAGTCTTAAATCTATGATATAAAATAAAATATTAAAAAACCAATAATTTACTAAAATATATTATTAAAAGGAGTCCCTTTAGGTAAGGTCCAAATTATTACATGTAAATTATATAAGATTTCATTTATTATAAAGCAATTATCGTAGATCATTTGTGTCTTGACCTTCCGGCATATTCAACATAAATTGGGTGATTCAAGTTTACAACTATATATCGAGTAATTTAATTTAAACAAAATAAATCTATTATTGTTCCAGAGTTTTCTTAATTATTATAATTAAAGGACCATAGAACATTTAGAAGGGCCATCCATAGTCATAAAGTATGAAAGTTAATAATGTATAGTTATTAATGTTTCCCTTAAGAAAAAATTTAAAGTAACATAATTATCGAATAAATAATATTAACATTCTTACAGTAATTAAATGACTAATTAATTAAACTACCAAAATAATACTATAAACTATATACTAAAACTAAACCAAACTAAAAATAAAACTATATAATATAAAAAATCGACCCCAAATCGCTGCGGTCGCACATAATTATCTGGAAATAAATCTTTATATTTATAAAATAATTGTGTAGTAATTTAAGGCAAGCTATAGACCAATATTCATAATTTTAGGGTTCCGTACCTCGAAAGGAAATAACTGAACCCTTATAGTATCACTTTGATGTCCTTTTTCCCAAAACGCGTATCAAGCTGGAATTTCTTTCCAACAATATCTATACTTCAATTGTTATTTCATTGATTCGCTTACGTCATATATGTCGAACTATTTAAGGAAACTATAACCAATATACAATACCAAATTGCGTTCTATTTATATATCATTTTAAGACAACTCTGTTAAATTATTTCGGAAAACACAAAACGTCATTTTAAATGAGTACTTTAAACATATGTTATATTTTTAGCTAAAAAAACACTTTTATTCATACAATTATGCAACAGTATATTTGTTTTACCATTTTAAACGTAAACCAAAAGAGTAGTTTATATACTATATAATGCTATGTTCACACGACGGTAAAGGAGTAGGGCTGTGCAGTACAACAATTATGTGAAGGAAAACTTACGAACATAAGTACTATTCAGTCTCACATTTTTCAATAAAACATTCAGTACTTCATTGTCTTACTGCTACGTCTCACTGTTCTACTTGGTACAAAAATAGAAAAAAGGACGTTAGGTCTACTATGTCTTTGTAAAGAAAAGAAAATGTACAAAGGTCGCATCGATCGATAGTGTATTTGTCTCTTCGAGTTTCAATGGCGCAAATGGAATGCGAGCCTTAACTCGTTATCAAGCGAATCCGCACACTAAATTAAAAGCATTTAAAATTTAGGATTCCGTATTACAATTAAATAAAACCTTTTTTTTGTTTTCGTATTTTTATAAAGAGTTAATATTAAGACGACTTAACTCCCAATAAACTAGCGTTAATATCAAAATACGATAAAAAATATATTATTACTTTTGAGAAGGGACTTTGTCATGAGCAGCAAGGGTGTACGTTTTATTGACAACTGAAATAATAGGAAGCTTACAACTAGGTTTGTTTAGTCAAGTTATTTTGCAACGAATTCTGCGAAGGATCACTGATCGTGGGAAATTTGCTACATATATTTCACCAGAATTTTTAAAGTGCAATTATATTTCATATCCAAAAAAAAAAATCGGGAACTTTAATAAAATTAGATAAACTACTATTAAACTATTCGGAACCCATGATTTATGGAGACGATCGAACTTCATTTTTTTTTATTTCAATGTATGTTGTGCTGTAATCAGCACGTCTTCATAAATTTTGTAACATAAAAATACTGGCCAAAGAAAAAAAATATCGATTCGTCGTATCGTTAGTGGCACACGCCCTTGTTTTCGTTGTGTTTCTGTCCCGATGTAACAGTAAAACAATTTAATGATTTTTATTATGATAAGCAGGATGTGATAACGATGCCACACCTAGAATAAAACTTGTGCGACAGGTTTAATGCAATACCATTATTATACTGTATGGTAATAAATTGTAGAGATAAAGAGTATAGAGTATGTGCTAGGTTTTAATTATCTTCGTTGGTTTAGATTGAATCCTCTTTTTCGAAAACTATTTCAAATTTAGAATTTGGCACATGCCAGTAGGGATTTAATTATGTAGCGCATAACGATTTTACCGAAGATATTTTGAGTCCTCGAAAACCGAATACATTGAATAACGGACCCTAAATTGAATCCGTGTCAAAGTCAATATTTGTGTGACCTGCAAGCGCCTTCCGATTGGTTTATAATGTGGATTTACCGTGTAACCGACACTGCATACGATTTCAATTCAAATATACCAGGATACGTAAACAGATGTGGGTCCTTATGTATCCGTTTTATATTTCGTTGTATATTTACTGTTTTTAGAATAAGTTTATTACCATGAGGTCAATATGTCCAGTGCGTCCGTCTACTCCGTTTCGGTCGGTGGCAGACACCCTAAGTACGGCGCCTTGCTGCAGCAGCGAGCTATTGCTGATATGCACACGGCCTGTTGTGGGCGACACAGCCAGCGCAGGCTCCGAACTCCAATATACCAGAGCTGCGTTCTCTCCTATATCTGCGTCAGTAGCCTGTAATAGTAATAAGCATGTCTCAAAAATAGGCTGTGATAAAGACTAGTGGGATTAGGACTTAGTTATGTGTATATCGTTTTCACAGCTTCAATTTGAATGAGATTACATTCCATGCATCGGTATTTCAACAATTATTCATTTCCTCTATATTTTTTTTTAATTTCATAAACCTCTGAGAATAAATTTCATCATGGACGCAGTTATGTTCATTTATTATTTAATTACATTGAGACACAAACTGGTACTTCAGGTTTCGTTCCCAAACCCTATGACTAAGCGAATGTGTCGGTCATTCCATTGTGTTGCGCAATTTTCCCTTCTAAAAGTGTCAGCTACACGCTATAAAGTTTTCATATTTCACGCTCGAGCCTTTGAGGAAGTCCCAAAAAAATACCTTTAGAAAAAGAAACTAAACAAGCGAAGTTTATGTTGACGATAAGATATTATACGAAACATTTAAAAAAGATTCCAAATAATAATTCGTGTATACACAATGTGATGTCATGCAATGTAACTGGCGAGGGGCGGGTTCATAAAATACTGAACAAACGTGTCGTCTGACCGAAAATTTAAATTAATAAAACATAATGCTGTCACTCTTTTGATTTTATTTAAATACAATGATGACATTTTCTTTAAGGAGAATTATTAAAAAAGAAAAACGTATTAACTAATTCACAAAATTTTCAAAAGCACTCATTTTTAAATACTTTGATTTTCTGTTAATTTAACGGATTTCTCAACAAAGCAAAAGTCACTACGAAGTCAAAAAGACTAGCAAAAGGGGATTCTTGCACTGTTTTTTTTTAATCAATTGCTGATTGGTGATTGCTTGCAAATGAAAGCTTTTTTCAGTAGACTAGAAAAATATTTACTTTTTAAATATTATATTTAGGCATTAAAATATATAGTGAAACACCAAAGTAGCTAAGTCATGCGCCGGATACAAGATTGACTCGATAAAATAACCTTTGTGGTCTTAAAGATTATCAAGAAATATGAATAAGTTTTTTATTAAATACATTTTAGTATAGTCTATAGAAAATTTGAATTAATTTAATTTGATATAAAAATGCCACCGAGTAATTTTACTTCTTGCTAATATTATAAATGCGAACGGCACATGGATCTTGCTAAAATTCGGCACACACATCACATGAAATGTAGAACATCATCATCATCATCAGCTCACTATACGTCCCCACCGAGGGGCTCGGAGCCTACCTTAAGTTAAGGGTGATTAGATTATAGTCAACCACGCTGGCCCAGTGCGGGTTGGTGTGTAGAACATAAAGGCTACTAATTAAGCTTTTTAAATTCCGCGCGGAAGGAGTCGCGGGCGACAGCTGGAATACTTATAAAGTTGGTATACTTTTTATAGTATAAAAAAGAAATTGACAATATCATAGTTATCACTATTTTAACAATAATTTATTTAACTCACCGTTAGTTCAACTAAAGCTCTTGGGGGGACTATTTCTTCTAATTCAGGTAGTGGATATCCAACTGCTATTGGTTCATTTTCTTTTAAATCAAATATAGGATCATTGTCGTTAATATCATTAACAATTAGGTTAACAAAGCTGCGTCTTGGGTTATACAAAATAGGGTCTGTTAGAACCCATCTATAGGTACCATAGTCATAAGATCCCAAAGACTTCATAGGTATATTGTTGAATGAGCTTTTACTTTGGACTGTCAATTTGTCAATATCACATTGTAATGTTAATTCAACTTGTATTTGGGATAAAGCCATAAATGCTATGGATTTATCTTCTCTATCTATAGAATTTGTATGTAGTCCGTAGTCATCTACGTATAGCCATTTCTGATCGATCGGCCAATGGTTTGTCATCTCATATCGACAGTCTTTAGTTGTATTTAGAGTAACAAGGTTGTTGTAAGGCGACTCTTCGTCTTTTTCTATAATTATTAGAGGCGGTAGACCGATTTCTTCACCTGATTCCACTATTAATATAACCTGTGAATATAATATTATTGTTTAAAAATAAATAGAGTATCCTAACAAGTGTAACGCAATTTTAATTTGCTAATAAATTGCACACATTTGCATTATTACTAAAAAAAAAGCTTTAATATTATTAATATTATAAATGGGAAAGTTTAGAAAGATGGATGGATGTTTTTTAAGGTATCTCCAGAACGACTCAATGGATATTGATAAAATTTGTCATAGATTTATAACACGATCTGGAAAAATATATAGGTTTTTTAATTTTTTTTTACTCGGCGCCGACGGAGTCGCGGACAATAGCTAGTTAAAATTATAAATCTTTTAATGGAAATTTTTATTAAGTGCCTTAAAAATCGACCGCACCACAAATATCCAATCAAATTTATTGCAACTGCAAAAATAAAATCAAAAAACAAATGCCCTTTTTGATTTGTTTCAAGTAAGTTTTTTATTGACACTATTAATATAAATGTGCGTTTTAATTTTTAGTACACTTGCTTAATGGATGTAATGACATATATTTCCTGTATAAATGATAAGGAAATATTAATTGCTATGACTAATTATTTAATTTTTATCTTAAAATATAACTTGATACACTAAAAGCATCGAAGATCACCTTTACACGGGAAACGTTCTCTGTTCATAAAAAAATGTAGTAAAGTTAGTCATCAAATAGGTGTCCGATAATTTTAGATTAGAAAAAATATTAAAAGAAAAGAAATATTTCTTGTATAATTTTAAATCATTAAAAAATGTAGAATACATTTTTAAAAAGTCGGTTACAATGCAAAATACATCAAAAACACTTATTTTATTAGGTTTAATTTTATCTAGATAAGTTAAAGTTAAGACTCAACTTGAAATAAAAGAAACAGAATCTTAGAGGGTAAAATGATTTATACTAGTTTCCTTTTCAAGGTAATCAAACTGTAGATAGGAGATAATAAAAAAATAACTTGTATTAAAAAAAATATGTGTTTATTATTTAATTGTTTATTGATCCCTTTAAAATCACAAGCTAATAAACTAGGTATAAAAATATTTTGGTGTTTGAAAAATTGCGAAAAGAGAAAGGTACGTCGATTTAAATAAGTAAATTTATAATCGTTTTATTATGTTGTAACATTAAATAATTTAAAAATATTTTCTCAAAGTAAATAGAATGAGATCTTATTTACAAACTCAATAATTATTTGGATATTGCTTTTGTGTATTATATAATATTTGTTATAAGTTACGATATTACTATATTGTGTCTGTACTTTTGTAGAGCCAATTATCGTAAAGGATTTATTGAGAAAACGAGCCTGCGAATTGGAACGTAATTGGAAGATCTATTTTATATATTACTACGTATGTTATATTGTCAAAGAGACAAATAATTGGTACATTAAGATTATTCTTTAGATTTATATGAAACGTACAATTGTATAAAATAACTAGAATAAGACAAAAAAAACTGTTTCTCTTCGTTATAGGAAAGTACATAGAAAAGCGTCATTGATATTACAAGTTGTTAAGGCGTTATATTACAGTATTTGTTATAATATTAACATTTTTCGTATAAAATTTTGCACGTCAGCCCGGTGTTCCTGAATACAAGCTTATGTTTTCTAGAAGATAACAGTGTCGCAACCGAATGACTGAAAAGCCGTTTCTTTTGTAAAAAGCCTAATATTCATCTAATTAAATCGACATTAAAACAGAAAAGACGACATGTATTACAGCAATATTCATTTTCCCTCACTAATCCATCACATCGGCCTTCAAAGGGTTAAAACACGCGTTTAACCAGTGTCTTGTTACTAGATTTTTGGGGTGATACAGGTAGTGACTAAAATGATAAGGTAAGTCAGTTACGGAAAGAAATTTGTATCGCCACATAATATATTGTTATCTCTTTGATTTTTTTAAGGACAAGGTAAATTATGACAATGTGTCAGTACATTCAAAACATACAGTAAGAAAGTTCAATCGTTGTTTTCTGATAATTTTTGAAAGAAATATTAAACAGTAATTTCGCGTGTGTAAATATGCTACGTAAACGCACACACATGTTAAATACCGCTACTTTACGGATATATTTTATGACATTGTCTTTCCTGTCGTGTTAAAACATTTGTATAAAAACAAATAATTTAGTTATATGACAGCTAATTTAAGCAGTCCCGGCTTCGTAACTTAGTTCTGCGGTTTACAAGGTACTGTGGAGGTCGTTCGGGTCGAATTTCTCATTACAATTTAGAGGAGAGATAGGCATATTATATTTGATTGTGATACGTGTTTAGGTAATAATTCTGCTTTTGTTTAATTATTATTAAACGCGTTCATGAGTAAGTAACATGAGTGCACTTTAATAGCCAAGAAAGTGTCAATAGCCTAATGGTTAAGGGTACAATCTCAAGGTCGGTGGTTCGAATCCCGTCATTCGACTATTGTCGTAAACCTATCACAAGCTTAGAGCTTAGTTGGAATGGTATATGAAATATTTGAAGATTAACAAAATCTGCTAAAATTAAAAAAATGTTAAGTGGACTAGAATTTGAATACTTAAAGGCTTGATAATAAACGAAACTTCTTGACCTGTTACTAAAACAATAATATGACAGAATCCGTCAACAGCCTGCACTTCTAATTGACAATGAATATAATTCTTATTCTCAATTGCTGAAAAGCTTCGAGTATCAGAGCTTTGTCGCTTAAAGCAAAGCTCTAAACTACCTAAAACAACAATATTTTAATATTTATTTATGAGTAAAAAATGTTTACTTAACAACTTAATTTTTTGGCATCGTGTTAATGACAACCATTATTTATAATTCCGTTATCATCGCTAAATTAATTGCGATAAATTAAATTTTATTCCTTCATTTGTTTCGTTTTTTAATATATTTAGCGACAGGAATGATCAATCAGTTAGGTAAAGTTATCAGGACTTCTGAGAAATGGATGCATTGTCCTTAATCCTTCTGAGAATTTTTATCAAGTTTATTTGTCGTTTGTCGCGTTCATATTTAATTTATTTTATTCAGCAGATTCTTTCTTCAGAGAGATCTGATTGGATAAAAAGGTGTTTAAATCGCTTAAAAAAAAATCCATCTTAGGATAAAGCCCTATACACACAAGGCAACGTAAATAGTCGAAACTAATATTGTACGGTTTCGTCGAAGCTACTAAAATCGCCGAGTTTCAAAGATTTGTGTTGCCTTGTCTACGATGACTCTTAAGGAACTGTGGCTATAACCAAATTTTTTTGGAAAAATAATTAGCTAAATATAGACTACACCTTATTTAAAGAGGGAATACATTTGTGGAAGTTAAATAAATTTTCTTAAAAAAAAATTACAAAATTAACTTAGGAATATTATCTAGTGATGATTCTCTGGTAGTCGGCATACGGTATTTTTTAAACCTCTACTCATCTCATAAGTTATAACTAGTCTATGTGATGCGTAAATTTTATGAAGTAAATATTGAAAAAATATAGCAGAATTATTTGTCTGCTGCTCTATAGAAGAGCCACTTTACTGTCGCTCGAGAAAATTCATTCTTTCTATTTTCTCTTTACTTTCTTATTTATCTTTTATTATGGTGCCAACTTTCCTGGAAAATGTCTTTTATTATTTTCATCTTCTTTGTCAAATATTGCCGAGATAAGTATTTTAATCCGTTCTTTTTGTGATAGTACCAGATATAAGTAATTTTAAAGTGGTTTGTTTGTACATTTCACGGCATTTTTATTATTCAAGAATAGTATTAGTATCTCTGCGAATTTAATAAAAACTAAAGCAAATATTAAGTTTACCTACATTGGGTGTTACGAGAATATTTATCAAAGACTGATTAAAATGAAAACAGGAGTTTAATTAGGAAATAAAACATTAGTTTGTCTTAAATGTACGATTCGAATTGATACGTTAACTTTATATCTTGTGTCACGTCCTTAAAAAAACAATTAAAAAGGCAAGTAATGTTTTAAAATATCTAAATGACTTAAGGTGAAAGTACATGTAAACATTATCACGAAAAACGTGAAGATGTCAAGATAACAATGGTGTCACGATATTCATGTCCAAATGCTTTTTGTTTAATTATTTCATAAAACGTTAAAAAGCTTTCCGTGTACAAAGCACGATAATAAAATATTACAGGGAATCCGCTTATATCATATACCCAGTAAGCTCACTGTTCATAATAATAAAAAAGAGAAATTTTAAAAAGGGAAGGACCAACGAAATTCCAAAAAATAATAGCCTAAAAATGCACAAACAACTTGACGTCAACTAAACGCTTGTTAAAATATTTATTCCTTTTAACTTATTTGGCGTAATACAAATAAGTTAAACAAGAAACCACCATTTCAACATTCAAAATTTAATGCAGCACGTAATATTAAAACATGGAATAAATTTAAGTTTAAATAGCAGATAATTGGTAGAACAATAAATATCATTGTTGATAAAAGTAGCTGAAAAAGCAGAAAATACAATGCGATGTTCAACTAAAATTGAAAAGTAATTAACCACAGAATAAACAAACAAAATATCTCAATCTAGTAGACTGAATAATTAAATCGACAAAGGACTCAATCAATGTCAGACATAGTATTGAATCACGAGATATTTTAATAATTATTGTGAAACTGTTTGTTCTAAAGTCATTCTTCTGAAAAGAAATTGTGCAAAGTTTAATAAATAACTTAGCAATTGTAACAGGAATTTTATTGATAGTTGTTAATTTAATAAATCGAAACAAGTACTTAGTACGTATATATGTAAAAGAAATAACGCATCTGTATACCATAGAATGTTTACGACGCGCCGATTCATTGTTTTAAAAAAGAAGTACGTTATTTTCTTGGAGAACCTTAATTCGTTTTGTTTTGGAAATACCAATGGAGATATACAATTATTTCTTACTAGAAGGTGCAACGAGTATTTGCTATACAGGTAGGAATAATAAAAATAGCAAATGTTTTAATTCATACCGTGGCTGTTCCATTGACTTGCGTGATATCTGTGGTAGCTACAACTCTGCACGTGTGTACACCGCTACTAATAGAAGCTGTAAGATGTAGTTCACCATTGCTGTTTATTGACAGGATTTCTTTCAATTGATCTGAAAACACAAGTAGATAAATAAAGTCTTAAGCTTTGTGACTTTAATATACTTAAATATAATTCGAATATCAAGCATGTTTCAATGTGAAATTTCTCTACCGAAAAGCTTGTGATAAAACATATTACTATCTCTGTTTATTTCATAGGTAAGAAGGAGAATCATGCTAAGTTTATATATGCTAGAATAATGGAAACCTCTAGTCAAACAAAGAAGCATCATTTACATCTTGTTAAAATGGCCAGATACATTTTGTATCATCATCATCAGCTCACTATACGTCCCCACTGAGGTGCTCAGAGCGTACCCTAAGTTAGGGGTGACTAGGCCATAATCAACCACGTAAGCTTGGTACGGGTTGATTTTTTACGGGTTGTACGGGTTGGTTGACTTCACAAATATTTTTAAATTTCTACACAGATATGTGCAGGTTGCATCACGATGTTTTTCTTTACCGTAAGAATGTCGGAAAAATGTACATATGTAACTTGCAAATTTAAAAACACATTGGTACATGACGGGATTCGAACCCAGGACGAAGTACTTGAACCCCTGAGCCATCGACGCTCTACGACGCATTTGTATCTATTATAAGTCTTTATTATTCTTTAAAATTTTTAGGTAAGCATATATAAAAAAATCTTGTTTTTGTTGTAAATGTTAAGTTAAACAGTTATACAATTTAAACAATACATTTAAAAGTGTTATATTGTGTTAAATGTTTGTGATGAACGCGGAAATATTTTATTGGTATTGAATCATTATGAGGCGTGTCATCTACGCGGGTCAACTGTCGCTCATTATTTACCGTCTATATAAAAATAAATGTCAATGTTAACACCGATTATGTTAATTATATATAGATAATAACTAAATAAACTTATTATATTGTATTCAAAATTATTTTCATGTATTTAATTTTATACGAACATTTCATTCAAAATATTGAGAACACACTTTATTTTTTATCTTTCGATAGAACGCTAAAACAGATTTTTATTTAGATAAAAGCATAACTTTAAAGGGTATAACATTTTTGTGTTACGAACCAGTTCTCAGTTAGAGCTGAAATCAAATTAAAGTTACGATGTAATGAAATAAATTTGTTTATTGCGCAATAAAATGTCTGTTACGCATGACTTGTCAGCGTTTATTTTGTTGATGGAACTTTTGTATAAAACAGGTTCAAACATATTAAGGACAGACACATTTTAACGGTTTTGACGTACTGCAAGAATTATTATATTAATTTTATGCACGCGCTATTTTGCCATTAAGGACAAACAGGCGCTTCTAAATAAATTTTCGAGTACATGTGTATTTATTATTTTTTACCATTGATCGAATGATTTATATTCAATAATCTTTTATTATATAGCAGTTATTACCATTGTCAATGGAAAGTGAGTATGTAATAGATTCTCCATTATCCGCATTCGCAGATACTTGTCCGATTAGTCCCGTCTGAGAAATGTCCACTTGCATGACGTATGACTCGGAGCTAAACCTTACTGTAGGCAGAGCTGGAATCTCTGAAATAAAAAATGAAAATATAAAACAACTAAATGAAATAATATATATTAATTGTTAAATATTCATTTCTTATGATTAATACTGTAATTGAATATGGTAAGATAGTTAAGCAATGAAAATGTAAGGCAAAGTTGCCACATATTTTAAGATATTATTAGTCAGAATCATTTGGCGCGAATAACGTGTTACGAAGTCCAGTTTGAAAATGAATCGTTAGAGGACACAAACGTCGACATTTTATTAAGGCTAGTGCTGGGTCAATACACCGCCCCATTTCGGATTTTCTTCCTAACAATAGATAGTTATTCTAGTTTTGAAATAATATATTTTCTTTAAAATAATCTTAATCTAAGTATTGCCATTTAACATACATCTATGATGCGTTTTAAATACGAAGAATAAGCCTTGTCTACACTTCTAAGGTTACGCGAAATTGCTATTTTCAAAACAACATTGATTGGATGCATTTAAAGCGCCGCTATCGTGAATTGCAACGCAATATCTCACGCAATGAAGGATACAGACCATTCATATTCCACTTGACATTGATAATAAGATCGTGATAGCTTAAGTACTGCATTAATCTTCAAAAAGTTGAATCATAGATATAAATCGCATAATTTCCTTTGATTTATATAAATGATAATATTAAACATTTTAACAGCTTCAAATAATAAGCACTTGACATAACATTGTAGCTTATTAACACAATATTGCCTGAATAAGGTCTAAAACACATAATCAAGTAGAAGATATATTAGTGATTAAATGCAAAACGTCGTAGAATTTTGATGTCACATGATGTAATTTGTAATATGAAGGCATTTCCACCAGTTGGCAGATAGAGGCTGATGATGATAATATAATTTAGTTAACGAATATTAAAAACTCATTCACTCATCATACATCATACATTGCACTTAAATCATTCAATGATGAATGGTCAAGTAAGTACAATGCGTTAAAAATATATAAGAAATGTTCTTCTTATTATAAAACTAGCTGTGCCCGCGACTTCTTCCGCGTGAATTACTGTCTTTGAGCTGCGCGCGCTGGACAGTACTTGGACATTTAAACATTACTTTATTTTTGTAAAATAAAAATAATTTTACTAAAATAAACGTAGCCTAAGTTACTCCTTATTACATCAGCTACCTGCCAATAAGTCGCGTCCAAATCGGTCCAGCCATTTAAGAGATTAACCGAAACGAACAGACAGACAAAAATGTAAAAAAAGTTTTTTTTTTGGTATATGTACCGTAGATACATTCATATACATGAAGTAAATAAACGGATATTTCAATATTACAAACAAACACCCCAATACTATTTATATGTATAGATATTTAATTTACCTTGATCAATGACGTCAAGTTGAAGCACGCAACCAGCACCGGGAACACGAATTTCAAGTATCACGTACGTACTGTCCACAGTTATTGCTATTGTATCTCTCAACCCAACAGTCACAAGTCCTTGGTTTATATGTGCAACAAATAAATTTACATGATCTGGAAAAAAATATCGCTGCTCTATAGTCATTAATACTAATAGAATTATAGTAAACTAGCAAAGAGATCTAATAGAACTAAAAACAATGTTAAGAAAAACAATAATAATAATAACAATATTCATATTTTGATACGACTCATCGACTATTAAAAGAAAAAATCTTAAGTATTACGCATTACTTGACTTACAAAACTTTAACAAAGATTCTTGAACTGAAAATAAATCATAACTCGAGACGAGTCAGCTTCATTATTCACAGAGAAATAGCGTAAACAACTTATAACAAATACTTTGACATTTACTTGGCTAAGGAGGGATGCGAAGTTTTAAGAAATAATTATATTTCACTGACTAAATTAAACTAATGTAATGTTTTTATTTAACTCAACCAACCTCCAAAAATTTCAACATCAGTCCCATTGTATCCAGAAACTAAAATATTTTCATGTGTTATGATATTATCTCGTAAGACACCTCTGTACAGTAATTTGTCGAAATAAATATTGTTATCTTCTGAAGCTGAAATCACACTTAAATTTAATAATATTTTAAAGACAAATTGATTTATATATGTAACTTTTGTTTGTCAGTATAAGGAACGAAAACTAAACTTATACATACTGAACCAGATAGCTTTTTTATTACAGTACCCAAGCACCTTTAATTAAAAAAATAATGACTCTGAGTGCGAATAATTCAAATAATTACCATTCGTTAATGAAATCACAATAGTTGATCTAGCTGTAACACTTTCCGGTTTTGTTGCGGTTATAATGAAAACAAGGAACATATTTTCGGATTGTATATTTTGTGGTATCGGAGTGGACAGTATAACTAATACTCCATCTCCAACTGCTTCAAGTGAAAACCAAATTGAATTGTCTGAAAAAATAACAATGAGTTAATAAAACACTATCGTTAAGTATAACATATTAAATTGTATTAACTTTAACCTCCTTCCAATGAATATTCAACACCATCACTCCTTCCTTCAGTAAGAGCAATAATTTCTTCAAATTCAAGTACGTCATTTTCTTTGTATTGCCCAGTGTAATATGGTTCTTTAAATTTTAATACATGTATAGGTATATTATTTTCTTGGATAATTTCGAGCACAATTGTTGTGTAACTTGATAATGCTTCTATTGCTTTTGCTTCTAATTCTAAAACAATTACTCTATTTCCAGATAAAATTTCATCAGGTACTGTATCTTCAAGTAAAATATACACCATCGCTCCATCTATTCTCTTTGTAAACAAATTCGCCAGTTCTGAAAAAGTCAATACATATGATTATTACAATAAGCATGAGTTTAAGCAGATTCTAAGCATTTTACTTACCTCCATTAAGTGAAAATTCTACTTCAGCAGTAAACCCTTCTACTAAAATTATCGGTTCCAAGTTAACAGTTACATTATCTACTGTTCCCAAGTAATTGTTTTTTTCGAAACCGAGAATTAGTGTGGTATTTAGTTCTGAAAAGAAACCAAAAATCTTTTGTATGGAATCTCTTTAATTTGATTTATTGATTAGGCTTAACTTACCGTTCGTCATGGTTATGATTATTGCAGACCTGGCAGTAACTGAACTGCTAAGTTTACTCGCAGTGATTTCAAAGATTAGCTGCCGATTGTTATTTATAACATCGATGGGAATAGGACTAGTTAAATTTATTGTCACTCCACTCTCAGTCGTTACTATTCCAAACCATAACGAATTCTCTAGAAACAAAAGACAAATTAGAGAAGTTTATGATTTTATCGTTTGAATATATAATAGAATGAGTCTCCTTTCGCTAGTAATTACCTCCAACTAGTGTGAATTGGACAGTTTCGTCATAACCTTCTTGCAGTATTATATTATAACTAAAATTAAGACCTTCAGTTACGTCGTAGGCTCCAATATAATAAGCTTGCGTGAATTTAAGTAAATCGTTTATTGGAGGAATTTCATGTTTCACAACTTCAATAACTATTGTGACGTAAGCGGGAATAGCTTTCGGTGCTGTTGCGACCAATTCTAATATAATGATTCTATTATCAGGAACAATATTATCAGAAATCGTATCCTCTAATTGAATTGTGACTGTCGATTCAATTATTGCTATACTAAAAAACGATTCCAGCTCTGTGAAATAAAAAAATAATAATTAGGATATTAAAAGATCCGATAATATTTCTTTACTTTCAAACCTGATAGTAATTGAAATAAGGTTTGTTTAAAAAACATACCTCCTTGGAGAGTAAACACGACATCGGAAGAAAATCCTTGGACCAAAGAGATTGATTCCAAATTAAGTGTATTGTTGTCGATGGTACCAAGGATATTTGGTTTGTTAAAGCCAAGGACAACTATTTCTTCATTATCTGAAAATTATATATAAGAATAAACATGTTTTCTATAGTTTGAAGCAGGCATTAAATTATATATTTACCTTTTATAAGTGCAATAACAATCGTAGATCGAGCTGAAACTGTACTGTTTAATACATTTGCAGTAACAATAAAGATTAATTGTTGATTATCTGCCAATACGTCTGACGGTATGGGATTTTGTAGTGTTAAAATAACTCCATTGTCCAATGGCGTAAGTGAAAACCATATCGAACTTTCTAAAATTGTAAATAAAAAAGTTATTGTTTTTATTACCAACAAAAAGGTGACAGTAATTTTTTGGTTCCTTTTTACCTCCTTCAAGTTCAAAACTAATATTTTCATGATGTCCTTCTCTAAGTTGTATGGTTTGATTGAATTGTAAATTATCTTCAACAGAGTATTCTCCATAATAATAAGCTCGTTCAAATACTGGAGGTATTACGTTCGGTTCCAATTCACTAATAATTTCTATTACTATTGTTGCATGAGCCTTTATTGTTCTTGGATGGATTGCCTCGATATTTAATATAATATTTTTTTTATTCTCAATAACCTCTTCGGGAAATTGTTCATTTATTTCTAACGTTACAATATTTCCATCGTTTGTCACACTAAATATAGATGCAAGATCTAGAAAAGTAAATATACCAGAAAATTTATTTGCTTAACTTGCTCACGTCGTAATTTCAACAAAATCGTAAAAAAAGTTTTTACCTCCAATTAATAAAAACTCTGTTTGAGGTTGAAATCCTTGATCCAGTACAATAGTTTCAATTGTAAACATTTCATTGGTAATATTACCAGTGTAACTGTGTTTGGAAAATCTCGTCACAACTGGTTCCGTTAGTTCTAGAAAGAAATATGCTTATGAGAATAATAAAGGTAAATAACAAGAGATTAACAAAAACAGTATACTGAACATACCTTTGGGAAAATGCACTGATATTGCAGCGTTGGCGCCTACAGAAAAAGGTTTTTCTGCTAATATATTAAATAGTAAAACCTTCTCGTTGAAAATTAATTCTTCAGGTATTATCGTATCTAAAGATATAGAAATATTATTGCCAGTATAAGAAATTGCAAAATATTGTGCATTATCTGAAAAAAAAGTAGCATCATCATCATCATCATTATCAGCCTAAATTCTTCCACTGCTGGATGTAGGCCTCCCCCATCGATTGCCACAATGCCCGGTCATGTGCTGCTGGCATCTAGTGCTATGGCTACAAAAGTAGCATATTAATTTATAATATCTAATTATATCTGATTTATAAAACAAACTTATTTCTTACCTCCTGATAAATGAAATGTTACATTTTCATCAAAACCTTGTTTTAAATATATATTTTCTATGCTTATTGTTGAAGCATCCAAATAAGTAGCATGATAAATATTTTTATTAAACATTGGTGTTGTAGTATCTTGTTTTATAATATCTAGTACAACAGTTGTTCTTGCTATTTCAGTACCATTACCCTCTGCGGTAAGTATAATTATAAGAATATTGTTATCAGAAATTACACTTTCCGGTATTTGATCTGATAAACTTAAAGTTACTAGGTTTCCTTCATTGAATTGAAGAAAGTATCTTGCATAATCTAAAATGTGCAATTGTATTCAATTAAAAATTGAGTAAAACCAAGAGTAGTAAGTAAGATCCAATTGTATAATGATTAATTACATATATGTGCAAATTCATACCTCCCGAAAGATCAAAGACAACGTCTTCATCGTAGCCGATATTTAACTCTATCTGCTCCAGTACAACACTGTTATTTACCAAATATCCGCTGTAAGTAAGAGATTTAAAAGCCAATGCTCTAGCTGCAATCAAAAGTTTCAGAAAACATGGCAAAAATGCGTTACAATTTTTAACATTATGAGCTTTTCATTATAAAAATAAAAAAAATCACTTAAAAAAAAACAGCTTCGAATTGAAGTTAAACACGGGAATTGAAGTTTAGTAAGTAAAAACTGTTTTAAATGTGGTTTTCGTTCCATTTCAAATTATTTAACTTTGCATAGTGCATTTATAAAAGTCAATTATATATTGGAAGGCTTCTGTCACCTTCAGGCATTGCGATATAAAGAACCGCCTGTGCTCCGACTGTTCTTGGCTTCGTGGCAATTATAGTAAGTAACAAACGTTGTTCATTTAAAACATGTGAAGGCAAGCCTGTCGTGATAATGTTAAATATGTCGCCATCTTGTGTTATTTGAAAATAGGTTTTAAAATCTGAAATAAAGGAAATTCATCTTACTACTATAAATGTTAATGTTTAGATGGATGGATGGCAGGATGTTTGGTTGAAGATGTTACCAGAACGGCTGCATGGATCTCGCTGAAATTTAGCATAGATGTAGAACACAGTCCGTAAGAACACATAGACTACTTATTAAGTTTGTTTTTAATTCCACGCAGACGGAGTCGATTATTTTAAATAAATGTTTTTAAAATACTAGCAATGAAGAAACGTTTTTATATTTAAGACAGTGACATAATATTAATTGCGCGTTCGAAATTTAAATTTATAACTTACCTCCCTCTAGAGAAACAGTCACAGTTTCATCGAAACCTTGAATAAATGTAATATTTTCTACTGTCACTCCAAGAATAGGATCATAAGTAGCATTATATATGTTCTTTTCGAATATTGGTGTAGTTCGGTCATCTTTAATAATTTCCAAAATCACCACGGTAGCTGCTGTTCTGTTGTTAGCAATAGCAACAACTTGCAATGTCAAAATGTTATTATTTTTTATAATTTTATCAGTAAGTGGATCCATACGCAATATTACATTATTATTTTGTACACTAGCAGTAAAATATTGAGTAAATTCTGTAAATAAAATGTACTACGTTTAAATTATACCAAATTGTTTTTTTATTTTGATTAAGTAAAGTTTAACTCTAAATATAATTACCGCTGTTAATATTTAATTGCATTTCTGGATAATCTGTATTTTCTTGTAGAACTAAATTTTGAATTCTTAGAGAATTATCCACAATCAATCCCTTGTAGTAAGCGTCTTCAAACGTAAAATTAGGACCTGAAATGTATAACATATATAAGTTTTCTGAGTACTATATAAGTATATTAGCTTCTGAAATATTTGATTACCTTCAGGTAAATTGACTACAATGGTTGCAGTTGCACCACTCGTGTGTTCGCGGCTAGCTTTTAAGATTAAATAAATTTGACTACTCAAATCCGTCGGTAGTTGTGAAACAGCTCTTAACGTGATTCGATTTTCGTTCAAATCAATATAGAAGAGATCTTTTTTATCTGTAAAAAAAAGTTATATCGTAGAACACAAGTTAAAATAATCGTTGCATTAGAACTGAAAATTATTTTTACCTCCTTCTAGACTAAAATGTACATTTGCGTCATAGCCTTGTTGCAGATATATGTCATTTTCTAGACGAATATTTCCCTCAATAGTATAAGTAGCTATATAAAAAGTTTGTGAAAATATGAGATCATCAGGAAATTCAAATTCTGTGTCAACCTCTATGCGTACTGTTGCGTTGCTTGTGATTGGGGGATCACCGGTGAGATCAACATCCTGGTTAGTAATAAAAAAAAACAAAATCAGTTTTAGTTTAACTTTTTTTTAATAGTAAGAAATTATGATATTTACCGTTGCTTTTATCCGTAAAACAATAGGTTCTGAAATTCTTCTTATAAATGTAGTAGTCCGTAAAGTAGCTTTAAATTCTTTAGGCGTTGTAGATGTGTCGGAAACGATTTCGAAAAATGGATTTTCTTCGATTTCGAAATCAATTCTTTGAGTTGTCAGATCGATATCCCGCACGATTATATTATTGACGCAATCGTTAATCAAAAATCCAGGCGGCAGCGGCGGTGCAACTTTATAAAGATAGTTATCACTTGGTCTGAACTGAGGTGCATTATTATTTGTGTCTATAATATTTATAACGAAAACCTGTAAAAGAACGACCACACTTTTCTCGCTGTTTGACTAACTACAGTATTTTATAGAGACCATGATATTTTATTTGTGACATTAATTGTCGCCCACAAATCCGTCCTCGTGCTGTTAAAAAAAAACTTAGTAGCCTATGTGTTCTTCCAGGCTATATTCTACATCTATGCCAGATTACAATAAGATCCATGGAGCCGTTCTGGAGATACCTTCTAAAAACATCCATCCAAACATTTGCATTTATAATATCAGTAAGATTAGTAAGATAAGATGGAATCGTCATCAGAATTCGTCATCATCATCGTTAAATGATTCTGTACAATCCCGGAGCCATCAAAAAATTATTTTTATAATTATATTGCTTAGAGTTTCTCGTATAAAAAACTAACTTACCAAAGTATTACTGGAACCACCACTGCATCTAAAATTAACAGTAACCCCTATCGAGTGTTCCGTTTCGTTTTCTTCATAGTTTTCAAACTGAGTATTCGGTGCGATAGTGAATTCGGAGTTACTGTATGAAACCGTTAAATACGGACCTCCATTTAAACCTTCGCTGTTCGTTACGGAATTTATACCTGATAGAAAAGTCATTCGATATTTTACATTTCAATAATACATGTTTTATATTATGAAAAATTTATACATAGAAAATGGTAACCTTCTATATTAGATGTGGATCTTCTAAAGAAAACATCCCTTTCCGTATCGTAGATATTTGTGGTGACCGGTAATAACCAGTTACTGATGTTTTCCATAGAGCATGCTGTAAACAAATGCCAATCAATAATCTTTTGTTCGCATTTAGGTGAACGCTACTTTGCTTTCTTATTTAATGTCGATAATTGTTACTTAATAAGAATAAGACAAACATAAACTTTGTATAAATTAATTTGTAAGCAACAAAGTTAAAGTTACAACCATATTAAAAGTCTTAAGAATACAGTCCGGTGGTTAGTGACGCGTGATTTTAAGATTTTCATATCACAATTTTGATTTATTGCACAATTTTCCCGCAATCACAACTATCCATGGAGATAAATCTTTTAATAGAAGAGAATCTGAAGTAAATATCAGCACAATAATTATGATTAACTTATTTACATTTACAGTGGGTATGGATCTTTATTTCTAAAAACCCAGCATCGAGTCATCGTCTTCTATATATGGTTTAAATTCAACGACAAATATAAACATACCATAATAATTGTTGGTTTATATTATACGTTACCCTCGAGAGTATCATGCTTAACCTATACAAGTTTGTTCCATTCTAATTTGCCGTCTAATTTGAATTCCCTTAGCATTACAGACCAATATAATTTAATCATTACCATAATTTCTTGTTTACATAATGCCAGTACAGTATGACAGTAGCGCTCAAAATCAACGCTGACGTACAACTTGCATATTATAAACATTAACTAGCGCCAGTGAATAAAAATAGTCAATGCCCGGTTAACGCTACTGTCTTACTGCACTGGAATCATGTAAACCAAGCATTATTTCAACGTTATATATTACTTACCATAGCTGCCATTAAATGTCAATAAGACGAAACAAAAAAGAACAAAGAACTTTTGCATTTTGAATTCATTAATCCATTTATCACATTCCTAACAGTTATAAACAGGAAACACTTTTATTGCTTTCACTATTAGATTATTAAAAATATAATTCTTTGGCACTTGATTATCAGGAACATAATTTCCACTTTGTAATCACTTCCGCGCGTTGATATACTGTTGCTATATCTTATATAATAAATAATTTAAAAATTTCAAAATCAAGACGATCAGTTTATATTAAGACAAATATAAAACTGAATTGTATTATTTTGATATCTATATTTAGATAGCGACTCTGTCAATATATAGAATGTTAATCTATGTATTCATATCTTTGCGGGGAAATAACACGATAATAATTTCATTATCAGAGCGATAGTTAAAGAACAATAATGACGATAATAGGAATTTTTGAAATTTAAATATTTGATGCATTTATCCTCAAAGATTGTCATTATCTTGAAAGATATTTGATAGTAAAAAATTGACAAACATAGTTTCAATATCGAGCAATTAACAGATGATTCAATTAATTTTATGTCCCATAGTTAAACTGTACGAACAAAAATTATTTATGTGATTTCTAGACTATTCAGAAACTTTTACAATTTCTACAACTTTTCGTAAAGTTAACAGTTTTGTTTATATGTTGCCTTTGTTCACCTAGCGGAATCATATTTCTAAATTCACAATCATTCAGTGACATATAAGCTACGTATACTATTCGGCTCGTAGCGCCTTTGATTTTTTTTTAGCAAAGTGGACTAAAAGTCGATTGCATATTTAAAATACTAGTAAAAAATAGCAATCTCAGTTTAATAATCTGTATTAATTATTAGTTTAAAAAAAAGTGGCCAAAGTTAAAATAATCCTTCGTCAAACTACTACCGAAATAAACAAATAACTTGTAAGTTTCTTTGAATCGTTTTTTATATTCCTGATGTAAGCTACTTCGTACAGGACTTTTACTGTTTTAAGTTTATTTAATATTTTGAGTTAAGGTAAAAGATCAAACAGGAGTAGAAAAAATCATGTACGATTTGCCCTCATTAAAATACTTATATATTTTTTTAATATATTTGATACCTTTGTGGAATTTTACATAAAAGAATTTTGTGAAATAACGTTGACGTATCAATTAAGGGTATTAATTAAAAATAATTAAGAAACTTCCCTTTCATGTTCCCTAATTAAAAAAGTCGCTATTTTCAAACGTACAGAGAAAAGTTCTTTAGTAAATTATGTCATAAAAAAAAACTGTAATAAAGTTATTGGACATCTTTTTTGCTATTTAAAGCCCTTAATTATCCAAAACCACACTCTTGTTGAAATAATACATGGCAATTTTAACAAATGAGTCAAATCTTAAATAAAGAAAGTCACGCTCAATAACATTGTTATTTTATTGATCTTAATATGAAATTAGCAAAGTTATATAGATATTTTTAAATTACTATTACTACTAGCGAAAAAAGCTTACATTGTAGTTAATAAAAAAAAAACTTTTTATTTCATTCCAACTCAGGATAAATAATTCCCAAGACTCAAATAACAAAGACATAACGTATCAACATATATAAATATATAGACAGGACATTACCTACCTAACCAAACGCTTATAAACTCTACTAGTGGTAGAGTTGAAAGTTAAGAGTAAGAATTGACAATTATGTGCTATTATACTTATATATTTATAGGAACGTGCTCGTAATATCCACTCTATAACTAATATAACATTTAAATATCTTTGTAAAGCAATTATTTGCGCAAACAAATAGTCGAAGTTTAATTTAAATTGATTCCCATTGATCTTCAGAAATTTCGTGGCCGTCGTCAATACTGCCTTGAGGTTTTCTATTGACGGTAACATTAAGAGCTAAGAGTTGTTGCATCGGTAGACGTGGTGATAAGTTGACCATGCTCGCCCACTGCCCAGAACACAGCTCGGGGAACTTTAGTTTCTTTAAGAAATGACCTTCCAGGTACCAGGGTGATATACAAGTTGGAGAGTAGTCCCAAATCTTCATTTCATTCAAGCGTACCCAACTGTAACATATTAATATAATGACAACTATTTTGACAAAAAGGTAACAAAGTGTATCAAAATTTAACCGTGGATATGCTATTAAATTATTCAAACTTTCGTGAGACATTATACTAAACTGATATATAAACACGGCTAAACACTCATGTAACATCGTCGACGACGCCGGCGCAACCCGCGCCCCCCGCCCCCTCAAAAAGCGCCCTAAGAGACGAATATACGTGAGTGTTTAGCCGTGTTTATATATCAGTTTGTGGATATGCTGTTATATCTACTAATAAAAAAACAAACTTATTATCATTATTATTTCTGATTCACTTCGTTGTCTCTGACAATGGGTCAGAGGCGACGAAGTGAATGAACAACTTTCCTAAACTGGCATTTAATTAATTAATTTAATTAATTAATATTATATAAAACTAGCGGACCCGACAGACGTTGTCCTGTCTACACGTCTTTAATTCGAATATTATTTAAAATTTGACTCTGCGATGGTAGCGCCGTCTGTCGGACCAATGTAAAACATTCCAAAATTAACAACTACTAATAAATTAAAAATTAATTAAAAATACATTGTCCAGCGGACAAAATTGTGAATCTAAACCATTCCCAGATCCCCTTGAACACACACAAAAAATTTCATCAAAATCGGTCCAGTCGTTTGAGAGAAGTTCAGTGACATACACACTCACAGAAGAATTATATATATAAAGATAATTGTGATATGAAATTGTTGAAAAGACAGTACTTTGTTCACTTACGCTGATATATAGAGAGCGTGACAGTCGCAATGCCAAGGGTTATTTGATAACTTCACATTTTCCAACTTTGGCATATAGTCGAGCGTGCGAGACGGTAGCGACGGAAACATATTGTTGTCTATATATCTGTGAAACAGATTGGAGAATTTCTTGTTCAAGATTTGCATTTCATATCACTCTTCGATTGTCATAATAAAACAAATTCGAAAGATAGACGTAGTTTTTAATTTTATTACAAGATGCACGGAAAATTCTCTTCTGATTTAGACGAATAAGAAGTTTTTGTTGATACAATAATTTTAAGATAAAATAGTTTGTGTCGTTCTCATAAACATTTTTATTAATTACTTACAGTGTTGTTAAATTCTTCAATGTTGAAAATGTCATGAAATGAACTTCGTAGAGTTGATTTTCAGAAAGTACGAGTGAAACAAGCTTATCCAGTCCGTGAAATGTCGACTCGTTCAAAAATCGCAGTTTGTTCTTTGATATATCTAAAGTCTCCAAATTCGTACAATTTGCAAACGTATTGTTAGGAATTTGCGTCAAGAAATTCTCCTTCAAGTCAAGATGACGAAGCAAATGGAGGTTTTGAAATTCCAAACCTGTGAACTGAAATATTAGAAATATTCAAGTGAAGAGCTGTAGTTATTTATACGAAATTGTTCTAAGAATTTTACTTACAGTTATTAGATTATTATTAGATAAATCCAGAAACGTCAAAGAGTGTAGATTATGAAATAACTTTGGTGGTATTTTCTTCAATTTATTTTTAAATAATAGCAAAGTTTCTAAGGAAAAGAGACTTTTAAAAGCATTATCGGTGATATTACTTATTTTGTTTTCAGACAATTTTAATACTTGTAATTTTTTCAATGGAAATGTCCCGTTTTCAATGCGCAGTATTTTATTCTTCGATAGATCTAACGTAAGAATAGATTCCAGACCGACAAAAGTATCTGAGGGTATATATATAATTTGATTGTTTGATATATCTAAGGTCTCCAGAAAAGAATTATTACTGAAGAGGCGTTCAGGTAACGTATGCAATAAATTATTGGACAAGTCAACGTGGAAAAGTTTTTTAGCCCAACGAAATGTTTCGCTGTCGATTTCTTCTAGATAATTCCTTTGCAAACGTCTGAAAATAAGTACGAATTACGAAAAATAAATAAGGAGAAAAGATATGGAAATCGTTAAATTATATTACTTTGTTATATTAATTTTTCAGTACAAATTATTTGCTATGTCCTTTCCAGATTTAGAATAGATTAACAAACGATTACATCACACAAATAAGAAAAATATTCAAAGTAACTTACAATATTCTCAAATTGATAAGTGAATCAAATATAGTCGTAGGTAAGTATTCCAAATGGTTGTCGAACATGTCTAATTCTGTAAGTGAACGCATTTCTTTAAATGTAGTCTTGTGAAGAGTGCGAAGTTTGTTAGTGCCCAAATCACTGAAAACATTCAAAATTAAAATCATTCCTAAACATGTATTTCATAAATTATATAATACTAGCCGCCGCCGGTGACTCCGTTCGCGCGAAATTAATAAAAAGATAATTAGTAGTCTATGTGTTCTTCCAGACTATTTTCTTTATGTATGCCTATTTCAATCTAGATCCTGTACTGTAGATATCTTTAGACAAACATCCATCCATCTAAACATTCCCATTTATAATATTAGAAAAAAGGAAGATAAGTAAGATTATGCATTTTGCTCTAGATTCAAATACTAAAAAAAAATATGTAAAAATCAAGTGCGCATCTGATATGAATGCTATTCATATAATTCATACAGAAATCTACTTTATGGTTAGAATTTCAAGCTAAAATAGAAATTGCAGAACACTACTTTCAGGGCAAAATATACATTTTTAAAGTTGAAATTTGCTATTCAAATATACAAGCACTTGTATTTATAAAGAAGTAATGAGAGAATTTCCAAATTAAGAGAGTACAGTTGACTGCTTTTTGCAGTGAAATTCAAATAACAAAATTCATGAAATACGGATGGAAAATATTATGATTAAAATTCTACATACGAATATTAAAAATATCATGCACATAAGTGAAGATTTATTTAAAGCGGAATCTCGTAACTTTTGTATTTAATGAACGTATTGAAAGTAAGCCACTGAATATGTGTATCATAGTCACCATTTATTCATGATAAAAAATAGTTTATGTACTTTGTGAATTATGTTTTGGATAACGAAAGATATCTATTAACTTACGGTCGTAAGTACGAATGTTTGGATGGATGGATGAATGTTTGTTAGAAGGTATCTCCTGAACGGTTGCATGGATCTCAATGAAATTCGGACGGAATCTTGACGACATTTACTTGATTATAAGAAATACGTACATGGTATGCAGGTCAGCTGGTACGATGATATCAGGAGTAAGAGTTACAAGTCCAGCTCTCCAACAGTTGAGGGAGCGGTGCACGGCGTCACATCGACATGCACTCTTAGCACACTGACGCCATCGAGACTGTCCCGTACTTACAGTCCAAGCTAGTCATTTTATAATAATTAGAAATTAAGTGTATTAAGTTAATATTATACATTCAGAAAAGATCTCAGTTGGACTTCTAGTACATAAGCGCAAGCAATAAATAACAAACTAATAAATTAATGTTATTATGTGCCTGTGTGTAGTGCTACTAAGGATTAAACAGTCACCGAATCCTCAACAATATATCTTTTTTTTTTAAGCTTAATAGATTTAAAAAAGGTTTTAAATTTAAATGTTACTGCGAGACTAAAAGTATAACATTTCCTTACCGGGTTGTTCAATGGCACGTAATCGTCTGTCTAACTGCCTCCAGTGGATATCCTCGGCGCAGACTCCGCCATTCCTTTGTTCTCCGCGGCGTCCCACTGTAAACATCTCCAATACTTCGCACGGATTCAAATTGCATTCCGCTTTGATGCCTTGAGCTGAAACTATTTTTAAACCACTGTAAACTAAGATATTCGTCTTTGTGAAAAAATCAGTATAAAATAAAATGCCACGAGAATTATATTATTCTTGTTATACATCTGTAGTAGACTGACTTCTTTTTTAATACCAACCCTGCTTTGCATGACATTAATATTGTTACATTCGCTACATACTTTCAGTTTTTACTGTACAATCGAACTGTACAAATAAAAGTTACGTGTGTAGATAAAACTAAGATCATGTACAATTTAATTAGCAATTAATAACGTCAACAACGTCTAAGTTTCAGCTGTAAATTTCCATTGTTCGGTAAAAACTGAAGGTGCGTAGCTGACTTTATATGTTTATGTGACTAATACATATGAACTTATATAACTAGTCGACCGTTTAAGTTTAACACAGGATATCTACATAATACGTCGAATGGAAATAGTAAGCAAATGATATGAGATAAATCATGTGTAATCACTCGTAAGTTATTGAAACATGCATTAAAATAAACGAAATTAAACTAGAATATATGCGTTTGAAAATGTGTTTAGTCATTGATAAAAATGATTTCTTTATCATTGTCCATCCGTTTGTGTTTTGGGCGTATTTAGCGCATGATTAGTAGACATAAAACTTGAAATATTAAGTTACAAAAATCAACTTTACCTCCAAATGTAAATATTCGTATAATCAAATATTTCTGAAGGAGGTTCATGTTTCTTGTCAATGATGAGCGTAGAGTGAGGTGGACAATGAATGCCTGTCCGCATTTGTGTTACGTTCCACACACGAATGGTATGCGGCAAAACGTAGTAATCTAAATACAATATGCATTTTCTTAACCTTTTTTCTCTGATGAAGGTAGACAGGGGCAACAATTTTACGAAGGGTGAGTCTGCGTTACTAGAATTGTAGTAATTGTAATGTAATTCACTAGGATTTCATTCCAATTAAGTTATATTTACATAGTCATCGGTAGACAAATGATTTAAAATGGGATTAGTTGAGAAATATTTATTTGCAAAAATATACTTAAAAAAATATAATAACATTAGAAACTTCTTTAAGTATACTAATTAGGCCGATTTATTTTCATAAAGTCGCAAATAACAAGTTTCAAAACACAAGGAAATGTATGACCATATAATTATTCGGAAGTAGAAATTAATGAAAACTAAAAGCAATGAATATTTTATATTATGTACTACATTTTTTAATATATAAAGCCATCAATATTCATGATTCAATGTTGTTGTATGCCATTAGGGATTCGCTAGAGATACGTAATTAACCAGTTAGCTGAATTGATTGCGTCCGCCAGGCGTGGGGTCAATCAATTGTCTTAATCATAGGTGTGTAAAATTTGTCAATGTTAAATAAAATTACTTAAAATAATAATTAATACTTATTTTACTTCCAGTACTGACTGTTACATATATTGGGTACATAAAATCTGTTCTAATATCCGTACCAACTCTTTTATAAAGTAGATTGACACAATTCATAGCTTTAAAGTTCGTAGAGGGTCTACGGAGCATATGCGAATAGTTTAAAATATGAAGTTCACTGTGTTCAGAACAGGAATTATGTCAGTGTTTTAAAGAACTAGTAGTAATCACTAACTTTGAATTAATAACTGAAATCCCAAATTACCATAATTAATTATATTCGTAACCAATGGATGTAAAAAAAAGTTAAAATAAATAGTCGTAGTATAAATAGTTTGCTTTGCAAAGGATAAAATGTAAGAGACACAACTTTTTGTTTTGTATTTTTCTTCTGTAGAACCAAGCTGACGCAATGATTGAATGTTCTACCGCGTTCACAAGGGACTTTGTAAATATAGATTACACAGTCACAAAAACCTTCAGACTTTAAACCTATATCTGAAAGCCGATAAAATAAAAGTACTGTTTGTAAATAAGGCTGGAACAATAATATAATTTTTCTTATAAAACCTTTTCAATGACCACTACAGTAAAAGTTAAAAACAATAGAAAATTACAACGTAAATTGGTTATACAATGGTTATTTACTATACAAATTTCCATTACGAAAAGAGAACGTTCAAGTGAACAATACTAACAAATGTAAGTGAAGGAATGAATAAAGATTCTTATTTGAAGTTATTTTCGGTAATTGATTAGTCCTTGAATGTCTATATTAATAAAATAAGATAGATAGTATCTACGATAATGTTTGTAATACATAATTATTCATTCTCAAGTAATATTTCATGTGGTCACAACCTGTCACTAATATGTCACTTCCGAACTTATAGAGTTACGCAATCACATTCTACGGTTACTCGTAGAGCATCGTAGACGATGTATACGAATACGGTCATTTTCCCCTGATGTGATTTCATATTCACTCGGTTTAAAACAACTGAAAGTAAAGTCACGGCACGTGATTCATGCATAAATGCATACAAAATTTGCAAGATATAACCCTGGAAAGATTTAAGCCAACCTTTATTTTGTAAAAGAAATTTTAAATTTTAATATAATAATCGAACGGTAAAAATTTTTACAATTTGGGTTAGTGCTTTCGGAGCCAATTCAATGCAATCAAGTCTATTTTCTTCATAATATTATATAGACAACATTACTATGAGGAGTTTATAAGTATTATTTTTGAAATATAAATGATTATTTCTTTACTTTAAAACAAATTTTGAATAACAGAAACTCGTAAAAGTAAAATCTCATTTGAAAATACTATTGATGTGTCACTTGAAGACGTGGATAAAGTTTCAGTGAACGTCTAACGAGCGTTGAGAATAATTGTAGCTATTACCAATTGCTCAGCCACTCTTTAGATAATGAACTTAAATACGTCTTTTGTCTTCGATCATTTAACTTTTTACAAAAGGAAAGAAAACACCAGAAGAGTATATATCTGTATACTTCCAATTTGCTTATCCGATTAAGTTTACTGTTATATCATTTTTAAAGCTGTCTTTATCCTTTCCTTATCATTTTAATCCTTTTTATTTGTTAGGATATATTTTAAAGAATAATAAACACATGTACATCTAACCCACGTCTCTGATGGTGTTGTTGTGGTGACAACGTAACACTAGACTCTGTAATACTAGTTTTCAGTTTTGTATTTTTACTTCATAAAAAATTGTCTTGATGATAATAAATAATAGAGCAATATTTGCAATGTTACTCAAAGAAAATCTTCATTTTCTTCAAGCCAATTATAATCACTCACTACGATCGATTATCTAGTTCAGTGAACACCATTTACCATCCTACGTAGTACCGTGTTTACATTGATATACAGTTGATAATTGCTTCTATGGAGCGACAAAAATAACCTCCTTGGTGTGTATGCGAGGGTGGGTGCAGCCGGCAAGCGGCAACCGCGACGGCCATTCGTCTACGAACCACCGGCGCGGTACATCGTGTACGTTCCCGTCTTCAAACTTTCGCTCTAATCACGCGTACGACAAACAAACATCGGGTACAATTTAAATCTATTTGCAATGGTAAAACAACGCTTGTACAAATGCCACTGATAAAACCAAGGCATCCGTACAAACAGACAATTTGTTATGTGTTTTGTACTCTTTTCAATATTACGTTTAAAATCGATAAAAACAATTGTAGATAATTTTAATTATATGATAAAAAAATATAAATAAGCAAATGTAGCATAGATAAATAAATACAAGAATTCCCGGAAATAAATGGACAGTTTTCAGTGTGTTTGAATAAAGTTTGTTGAAGTAATTTCTGTTTAAAGTGACAAGGTTGAAAAATCAGTAAGTGCGCAATGTCAACTTTGGTAGCGGGTACGAGTGTGCTAATCGGTTCGCAAACACGCTGGAAGGTGGAAGAGTTGTACAATTGTGTGCCGTGAACGTTAACGCGAACGGCTAAGATCGACTCTATGAAGAACAAAGAGCAACTGCTTCTATCAACAATTATATTCCTTACAACATCTTCAAATAAGGAGTTTAACATGATGGAGACCAGGCAAGTTACCAAGTTATTTAGTTATAATGGAAAATTATCTTTCCACTTCTCATTGTTGTAATATGGAAAATTCTAACCTTTCCTCCTTGCAAAGAGGTAATAAGTAACTTATATCTCACGTACTATTTAACGTGTCAATTACTTACAAACGAGTCGAGCGTGTTACGAGGTGTAAATTGAGCTCACGGTTCGAATCTGTATATAAATTGAGTCAATGTTATTTGATCAGTAATTACCGTTTCGTTTGTTTGCCGGCCCATTATTCTATTAAGCTAACTCACATGTTTTCCGACCGCTTATCCTTATCTTTTGTTAAATTCCTGCCTTCAGAGTAGCTTTAAAGGCTTAATATAGTCCACCTCAGTGTTGCTTATGCTTCTCACTGTTTTGTTGTGTAGATCGATCTTAAAACAATTGATATCGATATTTAATTAAATACTAGCCGTCGGCCGCGACACCGAATTTGAAAAATAGTAGCCGATTTGTGCTTCTAGATTATGTTTAAATGTATGCCAAATTTCATCAAGATCCGTTCAGCCGATCTGGAGATACCTTCAAACAAATACATCCATCTAAATCTTCGCTTTTATGATATTAGTACGAAATAAAATTGTGTATAATACAATAATAAACGATATCTTTGTTACAATACTGATAAACTACATATTTTTTATTTCAAATGGCAGTTTGAGGAATATTTCAAAATAAAATACAGTATAGCATCGTATATAATACAATCTCATTTGCGCTTGTCATTATCAATAATTTTACAAGTCTACAACCCCCTTAGGGCCGGGAGGCTATAATGATGTTTACGTACATTGGCCCACTTGTATTTACCTAGTTTTAGTACAAGGTCTACAAATGTAGCAAGTTTATCGTTGTACTTTTTAATTCAGATAGACAACAAACAACTTTTAATAATCTTACTTCTTAAAAATGCGAATGGCGAGATGTACGAGTATATATCAATGTTTGTTGGAATGTTCTTATTTAGAATAATTATTTTTTCCTCAATACCGCGCTGACGAAGTCGCGGGCGACAGTTAGTTACAGAATATTTCTACGATGAATATATTAATAATAAACATACGTAGAAATAAATGAAATAAATTTCGTCTCAGATTATGTGAAAACAAAAATGTATCGTACCAAATGTATTAGAATGTTTGTGTATTACCGTAATATTGTCATAAACATAAAAACTTATTTTTAACAACCAATAAATGCTATAAAAGTTATAAATGATAATAATAGCTTTTATGAAACACTTATATGCACTTTATCAAAATTAAAAACATTCGTATCAAGCCGTAAAAAAGGTGGATTTAGTGTAACTGGACTCCAATAATTTGCCTAAAATGATATTTGCTGTACACTTCAGTCATCAAGTGTTTGAACTCACGATGGTTTGAAGTCCTTAATCTTTGCCTTTACAAAGAACAAAGGTGACTTTTATAGTTTATTCACATGAATGTAGCATACGTTGGGTGTGGTTTTTACTGTTCTTCCATAAACATGATCAAGGTATTAGTACTGTATTGTTGATTAATTAAAGCTATGAAAGACGTTAATGTTACAATGTGTATTCTTTCTTGATTCTTTTCATCTTTAATAAAAGGTAACACTTGTTTGGAATTAAGATTCCATTTAAATTTTCTTTATAGCGTTTGGAACGGTATGATTTTTCGTCGTGTTCTTTTGTTTTCTTATTATTGCGATGTTATTTTCCTTTCTTAAT